GAAACTAGATGTCAAACAGACTTTACTGTAAAACTAGTTGAATCGAAAATAGCGTCAAAATTTCTAATTTTTTAACAATTATTTAGATATCAATAACATTTATCGTAAAGTACAACTTAGCATAAAATGTAATAGTATTTTATATATGAAATAATGTAATGACGTAAAATTTAATTTGGAATAAAGCAATGTAATAGTGTAATAATTATCGTTTTAAATTATAGATCTAATGCTGTTGTTTGAGTATCTTTTCTATTAAATAAATTAGTTATCGTTGTAGACATATAGATACTATAGGTTTTGTCTGTGAAGTAATATCAATGATAAAGATGTAAAAATATGCCGTTTTTGTTTGTCACTTATCTGAATGTTAAATTTTGTACAGATGTGCTGGTAGTGGCCGAGGTAATTAAATCTGAAAATAAGAAAGATATAACAATATCGTGGGACAAAACTTGGGATAAGGATTCACATGATTGCTTGTACAACAAAGATGAGGAAGTATTAGGCGAACATAACAACGAGATCACCCGGTACTTGGCAAGGACCATAAATCCTGCACTTTACGGTATATAATCTGCAAATGTGTTTGCGTAATTGCTCAACTAGAGAAAAATCTGCACATCTAAATTGTTAATATTAAATATAGTTTTTTTTTTTTTTTCCAATAAAAAGTTAAATATGTCAAATTCAACCCAGATATATTCTATTGAATTACATGACTTATTTTGTATTATTATTTTATTAGATGATACCTGTCCTCATAAAAGAACTGAAATCGACCATTGGATCTCCTGTGCCATGGTATTGCAAAATAAAGAAAAGAATAATGTGTTGAACTATCTGAATAATGTGTTACTGGTACAGACATGGCTGGTAGGCAATAGATTAACATTGGCCGATATTCACGTGTTTTCCGTTTTACATAATCAAGAATATATAAAATTGCATGAAAGTGATTATTGTAACGTCACTAGATGGTACAAGCATATCCAATCGCTTCCCGTTGTCAGTAACGCGATATCTATGATTGCAAAGAACTGCTCTCCACCTTCGAAACTGAAGGAAAAATCTGCCGCCAAGCAGACAAAAACAAGGAAACAGGAAGGCAAGTTTAGCGATCTACCCGGAGCAGAAATGGGCAAGGTAAAGTCACGCAGTACAATGAGAAGTAGATTTATTTTGATTTTTTAACTCTTGTAACTTCTAAAAAAATTTTAACTCATCTTCTGCAGGTAGTGGTAAGATCCCCTCAGTATTATACCGAGGCTTTTCAAGGACAGCTCATCATCCGATTTGACGACACAAATCCAGCGAAGGAGACCGTAGAATTTGAGGATGCTATACTGGAAGATTTAAGATTACTGCAAATTAAGCCTGATCGTTTTACGCATACCTCGGATTACTTTGAGATGAAGAAGCAATCCGACAAAGTACGAAATCTAAGAAGCATTATTGATCAAGAAGTGAAGGTTCTCTTAAATTTGATACGTGATTATAAAAATGGGATTGATCAGGATTGTAAATCAGCTGACACTGAAGTTGCTAGTATTAAAAGTAAGACAAAGCCAGAGAACAAAGAAATTTCAAAAGCGAAGAAGATATCTGAAGAAATAGAGAAACAAGGCGACAAAGTACGAAATCTAAAAAGCTCGAAAGCCGACAGGAGCGTTATTGATCAAGAAGTGAATGTTCTCTTAAGCCTGAAAAGTGACTATAAAAATACGACTGGTCAGGATTGGAAGCCTACGAATTCGGAGGCAGCGTCGAAAAAGGAAAAACAAAATTCTCCCAAGCCCGGAAAGACGTCGGAGAAAGAAGTTGTGAAAAACGCGGATGTAGTTACAAGCAAAACTGGAACGAGATTAGGACTGGAGGCGAAGAAGGAAGAGAACTTCTCTGATTGGTATTCGCAAGTTATCACGAAGAGTGAAATGATTAAATATTGTGACGTGTTGGGATGCCACGTTTTTCGTCCGTGGAGTTTCTCGATCTGGAAGATGATAAGGAAGTACATCAACAAAGAGATAATGGAACTCGGTGTTAAACAATGCCTCTTTTCGATGTTCGGTACTCGTGACGCATTAGAAAAGGAGAAGGCGCATATAACGGACTTTGCGCCGGAAGTCGCGTGGGTAACAAAATGGAACGAAGACGATCTGGAGGAGCCCTTAGCTGTACGGCCCACCTCGGAGACTATTATGTACCCGGAATTTGCCAAATGGCTGAAGTCTGACGACGATTTACCTCTTAAGCTCAATCAATGGTGCAACGTTGTGGTAAGTATTATCAGTCTTTTTTCTCTACTCTACTTTAATACCGCTCCTTTTCAATTATCTTATTTTTGTTTGAGAAGGACTCAATCCTGAAGGTCAAAATGTTGTGAAGTCGTTTCAATACATTTATTGCGAATTGTCGTCGAAAATAATAAACATTTTTATCTTATTTTTGTTTGCAGAGATGGGAATTTAAAGATCCCAAACCGTTTCTACGCACCAGAGAGTTTTTATGGCAGGAGGGTCATACCGCGTTTGCTACGCAGACGGAAGCGGAGGAGGAAGTGTTGACCATTTTAGATATGTACGCTAGAGTCTATGAGGAGTTGTTAGCGGTGCCCGTCATCAAGGGTTATAAGACTGAAAAGGAGAAGTTCGCGGGTAGCGATTATACCACTACTGTCGAGGCGTTCATTTCAACTAACGGTCGCGCGATACAGGGAGCGACGAGCCACCATCTAGGACAAAACTTTTCGAAAATGTTTAATATCCAAATAGAAGCGGATGGAGAAAAAACGTTCGTCTATCAAAATTCATGGGGTTTAACTACACGAACGATTGGAGTCATGATAATGGTTACTACAATTATTATTATTATATATAGATGACACATGTGATGCTGCATAAGCTATGTGTTTTATAATGAATACTTATTTATTTAGGTACACGGAGATGATCGAGGTTTGGTATTACCTCCAAATGTAGCACCAATACAAGTCGTTGTGATTCCCTGCGGCATAGTCGCAAGCATGTCTAAGTCAAAGAAAGAGGAACTTCAAAATGAATGCACCTGTCTGGTCGAGCAACTGAAAATAAATAAATTTAGAGTACGGGATGATTTTAGACCTAATCGAACACCTGGATGGAAGTTCAACCACTGGGAGCTGAAAGGCGTACCGATAAGAATCGAATTTGGTCCAAGAGATATGGAAAGGAATGAAGTAACACTCGTACGAAGAGATAACTCGGAGCGAGAAGTTGTTAAAAAAGATGAGTTAATTTTAGCGGTAACTTGTATGCTGAAAAAAGTGCAAGACAGCTTGTTAGAGAGGTAAACGTTACTCAAAAATTTTTAAACCAATAACATTCATGAGATAACATATGGTTGACGTCACTCAATTTTATCCATTTGTTTGTAGAGCGAAGCACAAGTTAAAAGAGCATATTAAACAGGTAGAAAACTGGGACGAATTCAAACTCGAGCTCGATAAAAAGAATTTATTATTGTCACCTTTCTGCGGAGAACCGGAGTGTGAAGATAACATTAAGCAACAAAGCGCACGGTAAAATTTCCTTCTTATTATGTATGAAAAATATTTTTATGCACTTGTATATTGCTTATTATTACTTCAGAAAAATGCGTTTATAAATGACCAAAATACCAATTTAAAACAAATTTTTGTGTTTAAAAAAGTAGATTACATTACGAAAAGAAAAAGTATGAATACAAGAACGGTACTGAACGGCAGCTTTCTTTTTTACTCAATATGACTAATTACAGACTGAACATGATGGACGGAACGGTAACAATGGGCGCCAAGAGTCTGTGTATACCGTTGGAGCCAGAATTGACGAAACTTATCAACGCCATCAACGAGTTTGAGCAGCCCACGAAACCCACGAAACCTATCAACGAGTTAAAATGTATTCACCACGAATGCAAGAAGAATGCGAAGTTTTATACACTTTTTGGACGAAGTTACTAACGCATCCGTAAAAAGTTCACATACATTAAATTTGATGTTTAACAAATTTTTTTTACTGAGATTTTTGTATTCAAGTAGTATGGAATTTAAAGTTTAATAATGCAAATAAGTCTGTTTTTTATTTACACCTTATATTCCGTTATCCACTCCAGTATTGTCCATTTTTATTTAATTTTTATTTATTAACGCACACGCGCTGCCACCTCCCGCAGGGGGAATTGATCAACGCAATTCCTTGGCCCAATGCAAAGAGCCGAGCATGTGGAACAATCTATGTAATCCATGCACGTGACGTGAGCCGTGATGCGCTTGCTGCGCGAGCTTTTCCCAGCCGACCCAGCCTTTCCCGAGCCCGAGCCACCTCCCGCAGGGGGAATTGATCAACGCAATTCCTTGGCCCAATGCAAAGAGCCGAGCATGTGGAACGAACTATGTAATCCACGTGACGTGAGCCGTGATGCGCTCGCTTTTCCCAGCCGACCCAGCCTTTCCCGAGCCCGAGCCACGTGCTACTACTGTCACCGGTCACTCCGGATTCTGACGAGAGCTTGACCTCAACGCTGGATCTGCCGTGTGGAGTGTGATTATTAACAATATTAACTTTCATCGGCGCATGCTGACACTGAATCCGTTTCGGTTGGAGTGAACGTGCGAAGACAATGGCGCTTAAAATTGCCTTTGATCCAGCTCGTCCTTCGCTAGGTAAGATCCATGCGATCAACGGTTCGGCATCTGAACGTCGGTTTCATCATTTTTTAGCTTCCCCTAGGGCCTAATTCTCGAAAAATATCCCATACAATATGTTATGAATATCACACTTTGCAACCAATAGCACACTTGCAAAGTGCGATTTTTTTGTGACATTCATAAAATATCGTATGCGATATTTTTCGAGAATGAGGCCTCGCGCGGAATGTTCTACGAAGTCGAGCGTTCTCTTTCTGAAACAGAGGGGAGACAAATAATTGTTGAGACGAATGTTCCCCTCTTTTTTTAAATAGATTTTCAGGTTTTTTAAAAGTATTTATTTATACTTCTCTACTTTCTGTATTCTTGCCGCATTTATCGACATTTCTCACGTTTGTTGCGTCATGTCACGTCGAGTCGTGTGCTAGCAATTCAATTATTCCAGATGTTTTTTCACGTGCGATGAATAAATAAAGACGCTTTCGATAATAATACCATGCAAGTAGCGCGTTACGTGTCGTTACATATTAGTGCGACGTGGAACATACACGAGTTTACTGAGGGACAATTAGTGAAACTCGTTCGATAATATCATCATACTTGTTCAGCTTGTAACCCACGTACTGCATAATGCAAGACTGTCCATTTTTTAAGAACTTTTATATATTACTTAGGAAATATTGAAACTAGATGTCAAACAGACTTTACTGTAAAACTAGTTGAATCGAA